AGTCAACATCACGTGGATCAGCTCGGTTCAGAACAAACTCCGCTGGAATTAATAGCTTCAAAATTCCCAGGTACGTTTGGAAAAACGTAAATCAGATCAGTGCGTCTCATCTTGATAATGATATTACAAAATAAAAAATGTCCCGTGATCCAGTTTCAGAAGTGAACTGAAGGAGGTTAAACAGGGTTAGTGTCACGCCAATGATTGCTTGTACACCCCATATAAACCTTGAGCTGTAAGTCATTCAACTTTCTCTTAAAGGACACCACTATGAATCGTACAGGTAGTGTTGTTCCTTGCTGTTCTCCGGTCATTTTCTCTGTACAGCAGAACCTATTTAAGACGAACTCTAAATGCCAGCCCCACCCTTGTCCACCTGAAATAAGTGTATAGATAGATCTGTTGTTGTCTTTGAAATTGCGTTTCAACTCAAAGAAACCTTGTGTGGGCACGGTAAATGCTGTATTGTATTGTATTGCCTCTCTTGCCAATATGAAATTTTTAAAAATATGTATTTAACCGCAGGACAGCACGAGGAGGAATATCGGCGCCAGCTGGGCAGATATGGAGTAATAAATGACTTGGCTCTTAGACCTGTAAGGAGTTTATCAGGTGGTCAGAAAAGTCGAGTGGTTATGGCTTTGATGAGTATGATAAGGTACACTGACTCCAGGGATACTTCTTAAAGTACTAAATAGAACGAGAACGTTCACGTGGTTGTAAATTTAGCTATTGCTTTGGTATATCAATGTTACTGGGTAGATATGTAGACTTCTGTTGAAGACAAAGGTAGTACCTTTAGTTCTCAGTTACTGTAAGACGCTGAGTATTGGTCCCGTCCCAGGACTCGAACCCGTGACTCCCGCTCTGCAGTCAATCGCTCTAATGACTGAGTTAGTCTTGCTGCGGTAAAAACCTCAAAACAGGTTTTATTGTTTTTTTCCTTGTTATAAAACTATTATTATCTATTTATTTTTTGCTTGATTCATTCCCATTCTTGGTTCTTATCTGAGATATTTGTTATTTTATTTTCTTAGGCCTCATTTTCTCATCCTTGATGAACCGACAAATCATTTAGATGTAGAGACAATAGAAGCTCTTGGAATCGCTTTAAACAATTATAAGGTAATTATTGTTATTGCACAGGGATCATGAATCAAGGAGGCTCCCGTGTACGTCCCTCCGTGTACCCCAGATATCAGACTTCTCCATTATCGATACAAACCTTGTATAATTATAGGTGCACCAATTGAGTCAAATCATAGATTTCGCCTTGTCGTGGCTGTCGTTATTATTATTTTTTTCTACCTATAACGCCTTTCTTTTCTGTGACAGATATTAGAGATTATGGGCTCGTTTATCGTTTATTTCACGATAATCACTTTTTTTATTGCCGGATCGCAACGTTTCGACAGCGTACTGCTGGTGTTTGTTACTGAGCAGGACTAATAGCAACATTATATTAGAGACTGTCTAAATTGTGATATCTGAGGCGTCGAGTAAGAGGTTGAAAAAGGTGTCACCACTTTTCATTGTTTTGTAGGGTGGAGTTATTATGGTAACACACGATGAACGACTTGTAAGAAGCGTGTGTAAAGAAGTTTGGATGTGTTCTAATGGCTCAGTCATAAGACAGGATGGCGGATTCGATCAATACAGAAAATTACTGGAAGATCAGATCAGAGAATTGTGACCTTCAAGTTACTGACAATATATTCTAGATTTTAATCAAATTGTAAAAAAATGCTATCATGTAATGCTGCTCGTAAAAGTATTTAAGCTAAGTGGTGGTTGCCTCGGTAATCTTTTAACGGTATTGTTAGTTGCCAAGTTATCCAGGCCCGTGAGCCACCGATGCAGGGTTCAAAGCAGGGCCCGCGCAGGGGGCGAATCAGACAAACTCGTTCCTAGGGTTCTCTCCTCTTTCGCTCGGCGAGACGAGTATTGTTAACGAAAGTTATTGAGCATAAAGCCGTGTTTTCGTGAAAGAAAATTAAGTAAATGAACAAATTATTTTC